GCGTGTTCCTTTAATGAACGCCCATGCCATGTGAACTCGCTGGTAACACATGCTCACTGAGAGCAGAGCTGTAACTGCCCTGCCAAAGTTCCATGTCATTCAGGTATTTTTAAAGAACAGGCTTTAGTCATAAATTGAGGCAAAGTGTGATTCCCTTCAGAATAAATACCTTCACCTCTCAACTCTCTCAATGTGAAAAATTCCTTTAGCATTAATATATAATGCTGCCAGTGACACACCATATTTCACAAACACTCCCAGTGATATCAGAATTTCCATGGTAGCGTTTAACCTTCAGGCACAATTATGGGTTTATTAGCTAATGCTGATCGGAAAGCTTCTCGTATTTCGCCAACTTACTTCTCAGTTATGGTTAAGCCCTAAGAATTATTATTTAAGTGCTGAAAGTGTACAAGCTGAGAGCAGAGCTGAGGATTGGGTTCCACATGAGCTTGTTCGTTCTCCCTGCCCCAGCAAAATCAGGTCTATCTACAAATCAGCTCTGACTTCACTGGTGGCACACATCTCTAGCTCAGTGGAGGAACAACATGGAAACTGAGTTGCCAGCTTGAAGTAACAAGATTCCTACTGGATATCCTTCTTCCGTTCTCCAGTGTTCTGGTGTTACTATAAATACAAGTCCACTGAATATCAGCCTTTGGCAGCTTTCAAGCTCTGTGATGGAAAACCATCGTATACTGGTATTAGAAGAACATCTAGAAACTGGATGGGGTTCCTCAACAATGCTGCAGAAAATGTGTCTGTCCTTGGTACAGTACGCATGGCAGCTCAGTCCAAAACAGGTCTGTGGGCCTACAGATGCCACACGATAAGGGCAGGCAGACTGGCTGGCTAACTGGGGGCACCGGGTTTGCTCGTGTCTCGTGTCTGGGCCAGACTGGTATGAGAAACCCAACCTGGCCCCAATATAGAGTTCTCCAGTGGCTGTGGATGTTTTTAGAGTGTGGGAAGCCAGCGAGAGCACACGAGCAGGCCCTAAATAGACAGTGAGGACTTGGCATGGCTCAGGAGTGGGGGCGGGGGGTGCTGGGGGAGGGGAAAGACTCTGTAGTGCGTCTGGAGGCCTAGTGCAGAGTTCCCACCTACTGCCAGGAAAGAGTTTCCTGTAAAAACCCTTAGAGGAGAACCCGATGTGTGGGACCACAAGCCGACTTTCCTCGATAGTGCAGATGATCATGGGCTGAGATGCCAACATTGTGGCAACAGGAAAAACAATGAGGAAAGAAGTAGGATTGTATGAACTTTGGGTGCCGTTTACTGACCATTTTCAATAGACACTCGAGGTACCAAATTATTCATGACACAAAAAAACATAGTATATAAACATAGGTATTACAAAGAATTTAAATGATTCAACACCCACTTGAAGAATTTTGTTGACTATTTGCTGTTTCGTAGGACACAGCTGCAGTAGATTTAATATCTCGAGCCGTTCCAGCACTGCACACCATTTCCACATGTTTGTCAATTTAGGCCGCGGAGCAAACAGAAAGCTGGCTCTGTCTTTTGAACTTTTGGGATTCTGCTTTTGCTCACCTGACAAGAGGGAGAGTGTTCTCCGAAGTGTTTTGCTCCATCAAAGATTCATGTGTATGTTGCTTAAGTTGTTAGACACACCCCCCCCCCCCCACCCCTGTTTCGTATTTACCAAGGATCGCCACTGCTGCCACTGAGAGAGAGCTGAAACTGTGAAATTCTGCAGGCAGACTCGAGCACGCTGCAAGCCTTCGGGCTGCAGCTGTGGGCCACATGTGGATGGCCTCCACGCGCCCGCGTCCCACCGTGTGCTGGCGCCCCCTTGTGTAATCTCTGTCAGTAAGAGACACGATGTTCAAAGTCTATTGGCCATGTTTGGTGTCAGTCCCTGGAGCTCTGGACGGTTGAGTCCTCCTCTGCTTCACCTTTGGTCCTTTTGATCTTCTCTTGCTTCCCATGATACAAAACCTGAAGGCATCTCTTGCCAGGATGTCAGAACATAAAGAAAAACGAAGCATTGGTTTGTCAGTGCTAACAGTGCTGAATGGACAGTATTTTCATGTTACCGTTGCTTTCTTACTGCCTTAAACTATAATTCATGTCCTTTTTCTTTCAGTGTGTCTATGGCGTGACCATGGTGGATATTACTAAAAAGACACTTGTTTAAGAAAGCAATTGAAAGCAGCTTCCAGTGTGACTGCCAAAAATACCACTTTTCCTGTGAACAGTTTTCAGTTTAAAATCTTTTGCTACATGTACAAGTTTGACTCCCCATTCAAGCTGCTGCAAGGTGTGGATTCACTGGTAATTAATTAAATAATGTATTGCAAAAATGTTATTTTAAGGGTGCCAGGATATTACAAATGATAATGAATTTTCTTAGTACAGATGATCTGGTAAATAAGCAAGATCAGCAAATAAAAAAGTAATATATTTTAAAAGTATGCATAAAATGCGTTTGTACCTTTAGCAATAGTCAAATTAGATCCGATTTAATGTAATTTATGACAAGGAGGATATATAACGTTACAAAGTCCGCCATCTGGTGGATTTTTTCGTCAACCATAGTGCAATGTAATAAGACGTGGAAGACATGTTGAGCTCAAATATACAACCCCGAGACATGGTAGTGAACTTAAGGAAATGCTTCTGTCGATTCCTTTACGACGTGTCAAATACGTGTCTTTACACAGCGTGTAGTCAGAGTATGGAATAGTCTTCCTGATAATGTAGTGCAAGCTGAATCCTTTAAATCAAAGCTAGATAAGATTTTAACAACTCTGAGCTATTAGTTAAGTTCTCCCCAAGCGAGCTCGATGGGCCGAATGGCCTCCTCTCGTTTGTATACTGTAGGTCTTATGTTCTTATACCAGAATATTAGCATAATAGCTTTGTAAAACACTTTACACAATAAAAGATGACACGTCTTAGGTTAAAGTAGAATGTTCCATCTTAAATGCGATGCCTACTGTGCCGACTAGTGGTCATTTATGGAATAACTGTATAGTTCGTAATTAATAAACGTGTTTTAGTCCGGAGCGTGATCGAGGTATAAAAAACATTTGAACGGTGTTACGTATTTATCATAAAGATGAATACTAAATAGATTAAATAGATAAATGTTCAGCTAACTTACCAATTTTATATGCGATCCAGGATAAAGAATATCGGAAGAGGTAAAATACATTACTTCCTATAAACACTACAGTTAATGAGCCTGAATTAACCCTGAATAGATTTTTTTCTATGCATAATACATCAGAATCAGGAGTCCGTGAAGAAATTTTGTTGCTACAGCTCTTTAGGCGATTTTCCACTTATGCTGGTTTTCCACTGGCGTAAAAAACTGGTACTGGTGCTGAACGACATCGCAACGCGAGGCGGGCTGTTTCGTAGGCTACTGAATTCGAAAAATGACTATAGTGCATATGGCGGGCGATGTGTGACATTAATTCCAACATGGAATATTAATGAAGGCCTACATGCAATTCTTACATCGCAAGGGCTACGATAGCAGGGCCGTCGGAGGGGAATTGATACCCTGAGAGATTCAGGGAGCCCAGCACTTTACAGGGGCGCTTAAATAGGTGAATGTATAAAATTACATAATGTAAGGCGGCGGTATGGGCCAATGTGACATTTTGTCAGGGGGCCCAGAATGTCTAGCTACTCCCGATAGTCAGCCGGATTGAGACCAGGCTTTTTCATACTGTCCGGACATTATATTTTATACTGTAAGAGGAAACACAACACATACAGCTCTGGAAAAAATAAGAAACCACGCTATGTTTTTTAAAATCTGCATTTTTAAGTCCTAGTTTAATCCTGGTTCTGCTGGCAGAAGGCTACACTGCGAGACAGGCTGCTTCCAGGCTCAACGTTTCTAAGACTGCAGTACACAAGAGCAAGGTGAAGCAGGAGATCCGGGCATTGACCGAAAACCACTCAGGTAGAGGGCAGAAGCAACTTATCCGGCAGTCCCTCATAAATTGGAGAATGACCTAAAGTGACCTTCAAATTAAGAGAATGGGAAATATGACGTTCTGTGAAGTGCACTGCTAGGACGATTCATAAAGCAGGGAAGAAGTCCTTCATCAATGAGAAACAGGGAAGAGCCAGACTAGAGTTAAAAAAAGTATATCTTATACAGACGCATTCCCGACAATTGTGAATTTAGTGAAACTGAAAATTTAGTAGTGTTGCTTTTGCGTGAGCTCTACATGCACTTTCAGAACCAATCACAATCATTTTCATCCTTGTTGTTTTTATATGCCTATGTAAAATTCGTCCCCTCTTGCAGTCCAAATATATACTATATATATATAGTTAGGCAAATCGACCTCTCTGAACTACCCCCGGTGTACTGATTTGTGTTGGTGTATTTGCCCCGCGATGGACAGGCCTCCCCAGCTTTGGATCCTGCGTTGCTTGGGACAGCTTTGCGGTCAGTATTAGTGATTGGAACATGGATAGATGGATATTAAAAGCGAATGATGAGTCATAGTCATTCCCCTTTAAGAAAATGCACGGGCTTGGTTACTAACTGTATGACGTCACCACAAACGCGGACGCCGACTTGTCGGAAAGCGGCCGCGTGAGTTGGTTCTAGCGCTTCCCTGCCGGTCTGCGCTTCCTGTTCGCATTTTTAAAAGCGCTGTCGCCTCTGTTATCGTTAATAAAGCACCGGTAGTTCGCTGCTTTCTCATACATCTGGAAGGACCGGCGGCCCGCGGGAAAATATATTATCTACTTTTCGCCGACTGGAGTCTCAGAGTTGACAGCCGAAATGGACATTAGGTGTCAGCCGGCAGAAGGGGAGTTTGCATTTTAAAATAAAATAAATTTCAGTTAGCCGCCTCTGCCCGGCGCTCGAGCCGTGCGGGTAACAGACCGTCCCGCCGGCAAGACGGCTGCTAGCTTACCGACGGCGCAGCCGCTTCTCGGCCGGCTTCAACGTAACGGAACGACTTAAGCCCTCAAGAGGCTTCTCGGCACCGTTCGGGATGCTGTCCGATGCGCAGACTGAGCCGGTGTTTCCAAGCCAGCAGCCGCCGCAGGGTCCGCAGAACCCGGCGCAGTTTGTCCAATGCAGCGTCAAGCCCACGGTGCCCATGAAGAAAAACGCTATTACCCAGGATTACAAAGTCACCAACAAGGTCCTGGGCTCCGGCATCAATGGCAAGGTGATAGAGGTTTTCCGGAATAAGGACGGCGAGCGCTTTGCCCTCAAGGTGAGCGACTCGCCTGTTGGGGGGGGGCTGCGGGTGAAGCGGTCGGGGTCGGACAGCAGACGACGGCCCGGCATTTGTTTATACTCTGGAGGGTAGCTGGCGTCCGAGGTGTTTGGTGTGACCGGCTGTTTTCGTGAAGTACCCCGCAGTTTCATTGGTGCGCTTTTTAATGTGAGGAGTTGACGGAGCGCTTCTTTGGGCGACTTGCCGGTGTTTACATGACTGACCTTAGGCGCCCGGCTCTTAGACTGACAAATTAAAAGTTCCTTCCACTTGGACTGATGTTACGGCGGTATTCTTAATGAAAACATAAAAAGATGAATTGGTCTGTCTTGGAGTAATAGTGTTTCTTTTTGAAACATTTGGTCTGTTAGTCTTTATGCAGTCTTTTTTTCAGTAACATTGTTACAGTACTAATGAAATTTGACATCACATGGAGTAATGGTGTTCCTTTCCGGATTTGGACTGCTAGTCTTAAGTAGTTTTTTTCCCGGTAATATTATTGCTGTACTTTAATGAAATCTGACATCACATGGAGTAATGGTGTTTCTTTACAGATTTGGAATATCAGTCTTACTACAATTGTATTTTTTGCAGCAATATTGTTGCAATACTTTAGTGAATGCACTCTGACAACACACTAATATTGTGTTTTTTTTAATATTCAGATTTTGATTGTCATTCTTACCACATTCCTGTTTTCTCTGTAATATTAGTACAGTGCTTAAGTTAATGCAGTATGACATCATCCGGAGTTACAGGGTTCCTTTACAGATTTGGCCTGTCAGCCTTACTGCAGTTGTTTCACAACCTAACAGTGTCTTGTTGAATCATATTTATATTTCCTTGCTTAATAGTTTTTGCTTAAACCAGGGGTGTCTCGGCGGCCTCCCCACGGAGAACACTGGTGCAGGTCCATGGCTTCCAATGGTCTTATCTTTGAAACGATGACTCAATGCTGGATTAGAGCTAGATCCAGTTCAGATAGAAGATGGTTCCACTTAGACCAAGGGTAGCCAGTCTTATCCGCAAAGGGCCGGTGTGTATGCAGGTTTTCGCTGCAACTCTCTAATTAAGTCACTAATTAGAGGACTGATTGGCTGAAGAGTCCTCACACCTGGGTTTGAACAGCTGACCTACAGGTTATCCCAAAAACCTGTTGGTGGCCTGCTAATATGTTACGGGTCCTTCTGTTGCAATACAAATGATCCTGAAAAAGATGGGCTTATAATTGCTTTTTGTACTGTCCCCTGAGTTTGTTCTGGATGAAATATCACTTGGTTAAGTTAAGCAAACCAATGCATGATGAGTCACTGGTGTTGCTGACAGGTGCTTGTTTTATATCGCTTTGCATCATGCTGGGATGTCTCAGTTTTGTGATTAGATGTCCATGCAATTGTGAGATTCACATTCTCATAACAGGATAGGATTCTACTCTGGCTGCTCAATAGGAATTTAAGTCAGTAAGTTCAATGATTCCTTCCCCCGCAACCCTGCATTAGGTCAACCCTGTTCAAGTGTATGCATCAGCTACTATGTCTGTAACTGCTCATACAGTTAGGCTCAGGGTTATACCACCAACAGATTATACCTTGAGGAGGATGTTTATCAGCTGACATCCAGGGGTACATTGTTTTGGCTGATACCGATTTTTGGCAAAATTTTGTCAGGCAGCAAAATAGTACTTTGCAAAAGCCTGAAACAGTCAAAGAAAATATTTAAAGCTGTTAATCGGGGCAGCAAGTGTATATTCGCTCAAATATTTTATATAAAATATATTAAAAATAAATTTTAGATAAATACATGCAGATTGACACTAAGAGATTAAAATGTAACAAAAATGTCTTCGGTTTTCCAAAAAGTTACTGATAGCTTGCCTATATGTCTAGAAGAGCACAGCTTTGGTTCACAAACCTCTCCTCAGGGGCGCCTCAGCCATTCCATGTGTCCATTAAATGACCAGCTCAGGTTAGCTAAACATGGTATGATAGCGCTTGAGTCAACAAATACATGGGTATATTGGATTAGCTGCATATCAATGATTATCAGTGGCTAAGCTAATGTTCTCGGGCAGAAATAAGATAATGGTTTTTCACCTACGTGAAGATCAGTTTAACATACTGTTCTTTGACTGCTTAAGAATTTTATGCACAGTACAGGTATCCCCTGCTTTATGAACATTCGCTTTACGTCACTTCGCTTTTAAGATAGACCTACGTTAGCACCTGTTTTGTTAAGTGAATGAAATCCAAAGAGGATTTTCGCTTTTACGCAAAGAGAAAAGCGTTTATCAGCGAACCAAATCTAGATTTGCAGTCATGCGTCGCATAACGACGTTTTGGTCAGTGACGGACCAGATATACCAAGGTGGTCCTGTAAGACTATAATCCAGCTGAAAAATTACTATTGCCTACTGCCTAGTGATGTTGTAGCCATAGCACAATTTCATAGCACAATTACTTGTTTGTGGTGATTCTGGTGTAAACAAACCCACTGTGCTGCCAGACATATAAAGTATAACACATACAATCCTGTACAGTATGTACAAGCACAATACTTTAAAATGATAAACACCTGCTGCCAGTTTATATATTTACTATACTGTAGTTTTTAAGCATTATTTGAGCTTTGCCATATAACCTGGGTGTATCGTAGGTGGTACCATCAAGAGTTGGGAGGTATACCAGTTCATACCGAAAACTGTTTTTTATTATTGTTATGATATGAATTTTTCTTATACCGCAGTATCGGTTTAATAGCCTACACAATGTTCGGAAAGTGGCGCAGCTGGAAACTGTTTAAGGGGTGACCTTTTTCACTGCTGCACCGCTAAAAATGTACCGCAAAACATAAGAAGTGGAAGATATAGCTGAAGCTGGAGTTGGAAATAATGAGACACTGGGGTTATCAAAAATCGATTCTCAGATACTAATCCATATTAAAAATTAGTATCTGATTAGATACTCTTTCACCATTATTGATACCAACAGTGCGGTTTTCGGCTTATTCGCTGCCCTTCACACATCATCATTACAGTGCGCGCGCACTCGTGTAGCCCCTCTCCTCCTCTCAATAGCTGCTGAACGCATTCACGCTGGTTAACACACACACACACACACCGAGTTGGCCGAACATGGCATATGCTGCAGTTGAAGGCACTTCACAAGGTGCTTTAGTTAAAAAAATAAATAAATAAAAATAAATAAAAAATAAAAAATCCATAAGTGCCGTTTGGAAGTATTTTGCAGACAAGCATGGAAAGGCTAAAGATGTCGATAAGCCTCTATGCAAACAGTGCTACTAAGTTGTGGCGACGAAGTCAAGTAGCACGTCAAACCTGGTGAAGCATCTTAAAGAGCTACATCCCGGTCTTCATGAGAAATTTCGCGAGGTCAGTAAAGCTCGTGTTCCAGCAACACTGAACTATTAAACACTTATCAAAAATGATAAATCGCTAATTGTGGGCCGGCCAAGTTATCTATAAGCAGTTAGCCAGCAAACACGTTATCCGTATGTTATCATTAAGGTAACGGATAGGCGCAGTGACTATTAATAAAAATAATTTTGTTAATGTGGGAACAATGCAAAAACGTGAAGCAAAAATGTGTCCTGTTAAATGAGGTAAACGCCCAGTCATACTTTGAGGGGGAAAAAAAAAAAAACATTGTATGCCGTGAAACCAATATAACTTTGAAAAATACCGTGATATAGATTTTTGGTCATACTGCCCAGCTCTAGTATCATCTATGTGTGTGTTCTCACAACGACAAAATCACCTAATGACGTATTTCTCAAAATGTATCCCTGTTGTTAAGCGATGCATGGCTATTGATTGTGGTAAGTGAAACTACACTGCACATACATTATTCCATTTTATTTAGGCTATGTATTTATCTTATGGTGCTTTTACTGTGTATTAGTGTTATTTTAGATTTTGTGTGTTATTTGGTATACTTTGGTAGGTTATTTTTTTGGGTCTGGGAATGTTGAAAAATGTGTCCCCTTTAAATTAATGGTAATTTGTTTTTCACTTAGCCCCATTTTATCTTATGAAAAGTTTCATAGGGACGCTCTACTTTGGGATACCGGGGGAAACCTGTTCTATATATTTTTGCCTTGTACAGTGCCTGACAAAAGCCTTGTCACTTAACCAAGTTCTAGGAACAACAAATAATAACTTGACCTGTAGTTAATTAGTTGGATTCAGAAATGGCTTATAAGAAAAGGCAAAGCCCTCTAGATTATGCTTATTATACCAAAATAAAGTTTTGCATCATTCATTGAGTTTTGTCATGTAATTAGGACAGAAAGGTCAACTTTTGCCTAGACAAAAGTCTTGTCATATGCAAAAATAATGTAGAAATTATACATATACTTCATTTAGAATACACAAACATGCTACAGTAACATCAGAACATAAAGTCATGGTGCCTTAATAATGTGTAATTAATAATGTGTATGACTCC